CCATAAACAGTAGATTGCAACTCAAATTTGAAGAAATCAGATGAGTGAAAAAAGCTTTATACAAACAAAACGAAATAGAAAACAATACAGTACGGTGAAACTAATCAACGTCAAGTCAAGTTTTTAAATGTAAAAATCAAAAAATTTGTGGGTGGCAATTCCAGGCAATCTCTCACATTTCCGGTGTCTGCCATGGTGGGTCGTGGAATTTAATTACAAGTGTCCGTTTAATACAGGTTGGCAACAATAGAAATGACCATTTCAGGTACTTTTTAGGTGTCCGCGTCCGCTTAATAGAGGTGTCCGCTTAATAAAGGTTTCACTTAAAGTAAATAGGGAAATAAATTTGGGGACCTCGGCTACTGTCCGCTTAATAGAGGGTGTCCGCTTAATACAGGTTTCACTGTATAAAACTAGACATTATGGCAGACATAATGTAATTTATGGCAAGGCATGATACTCACATGATAACTCGCTAGGTCAGGCTGTACCAGGTACTGCAAATCTAGCCAATTAGGTTATAGGGCGGTGTCAGGGTTTAATAAGTAGGTATATCGAGGTGTTTTTCCCAGTAATTCTTCCTTCTCTCCCTCGTCATCAACTCGGTCAGATCTCGATTCTTTCCCTCCTCCTCCCCTTTCACCTGCCTGCGGGTTATTATTGTTCACGGTATTTCCTGTTTCTTCTTTTTTCCTTTTCGTAAATATTTAGTTTTGTAGTTTGTGGCGGATTTTTGTCGCCCCATTTTTTATTCAGTAGGTTAATCGGTTTACATATATCGATGTGTTGTGATTCTGTTAGCTTTGATTTCATTAAACCTGCAACAACCGTGGTCAGATTTATCTAACACAGTTGTTTGTTTATATTTTCGTTCTGTTCCTTATCGGAAAGTACGTAACCGGAAATGCAAGCAGAGCTCGCGCAGAGTTGGGCTTTGTTTTGAACACGTGCCTTGATATAAGGGACTGGTCAAAAAGTATAGGGGGTGGAGGGGGGGGGAGGTTGTTGGGCCGGAGCAGAGAGGGGGTGGGTGATGAGGTTTTGAGCCTAGTGCAAGGGGTGGGTCGTGCAATTTTCAGCTACCCTTAGGGGGTGGGTCACCCTATTTTATTTCATAAATAGGCACTAACTACTAACGAGACAGTTGACTACACTTGTTATATAAAACACAGCCAGCTGGAATTATTGCTAAAATACTCAGAAACCTCAGTGTTGTGCGAAAAAATACAAAGGGTGACAGGCCGCACACCTATACGGGCGTGGAACCCTCTGTTAACCGTTTTTTTTGGCTCTACGAGCATGTCCTTTAATGATTTTCCTTTTTTGTAAGGAAATGATTGGTGGTTCTTTAAAAATTTTTTGAGGTTATAGTTGGTTTTGTATAAGACTCCATTTTTTCATTCAAGCTTCCTTTATAGTAGACACTGAGGGCTGATATTGTGACACGATTGGCAATTTTTCTTTTTCCTCCTGTTGTTTTGTTTTAGAAGTTTAGACTCCCTTTGGTGAATTTTATTTCTGATAGTAGGTTTTCTATCAAAGATTGTGGGTAGCCTCCGTCCATCAAGCGTTTTTTTTTTTAATTTGAATTATTTTCCTCAAAGGTTGTTTCTGAGGAGTTTTTTCATAGGATTCTCAAGGCTTCTCCTTTGACAAATCCTTTTTTAACATTTGGAGGGTGACTCCAGGTGAAATGTGTATACAAGAAGGTTTCCGTTTTTTTAAAATGTGTCTTTGCATCAAGGATAGATTTTACCTTGAATCTTGTGCCTTTGTATACAACTGTGTCTAAAAACGCAGTCTCAGTGTCAAATGTTTCGGCCGTGAATTCAATAGTTGGGTGATGTAAGTTTGCTTGTTCAATGAAGGCTTCGATGTCTGGTTTACTCATGTCCCATAGGGAAAACATATCGTGTATGTAGCCTTTCCAAACTGTTGTTCTAAAGACAGTTTTGCTTAGAGTTGTTGTTTCAATATATGTCATGAAAATATTGGCAAGGAATCAAAACTGCTGTCTTTGTGCCCATTGCAGTTCCATAGTTTTGGAGGTAGTGCTTTCCACTGAAGTGGAAGAAATTTTTTTTTTCTTTGTGGATTAATCTAAACATTTCCGGCAAGTAATGTGTAGGAATGGGTTGTCTTTCTAGAAATTTTCATTTACTTTGTAACAGACCATTTCAATATACCCTCGTTTTGCTGTATATGTGTGTCAAGACTCATAACGTCCATCGAAACAAGAAATGTTCGGTTTTTCACTTTTGTCTTTTCAGTGAAAGGTATGATTTCTGTGATTTTGATATTGGTTGTAGCAGCTAGTGTATCAACAAATTTTGTCAAGCACAGAACAAGGTTTTATTGGATTATTAAGAGGAAACCAAACATCCATGTTTTAACTAGGGGGTGGGTCATGCAATTTCCAACCTTGCTTTAGGGGTGGGTTAGTCATTTTTGGGCCCGAAGGGAGGGGGTGGGTCACGTGTTTTTTATCAACCACATTTCCAAATGCTCCGGCCCACCCCCCCGCCCCCCTATACTTTTTGACCAGTCCCTAAATACTGATCACGTACTAAGAAGAAACAAAAAGCAAACTGCGGTGATATGACAGGAAATACAAACGCATCACTGGAAAGAAAAAAAAAGACTAACATTTTCACTTAGGGAATTTTGGAAGACTCTGCTGATTAGGCATTTAGAACGTTCCTTAAATGAAAATGTCAGAAGTGAAAAACTTTTTCCTTTTTTAGTTTGCATGTTTTTTCTTTCAAATGCAAATTTTCCTACTATATGGCATCTTTCGTTCATCTAATTAGTTACTTATTCTACATTTAAATTTCTGTTGTTATTCAACGGTTTATTACTTCTGAAGAAGTATGTTTGTAGCATACGAAACGTCAAGTTAAGGTCTTTTTTGTTTCTTTCCAGAAAAACTTTTATATTTCCTTATGTGCATCACCGCAGTTTGCTTTTTGTTTCTTCTTAACCTACGATGGCCAAAAAGCAAAAGTATCTGTGATCTCGTACTGTTCAAAAGGTTAAGGAAGATATGCTCTGTTCTTAAACTTTCAACAGTATTTACCCTTGAATCGTTACCTGACCCCGAGGGAGAGATGTTCAGTTTTCTTAGTGTTAAGGTCACAAATGCAATAATTGGTGCCAATTGTAATAAGGGTCCCAAATGTAATATGAAATTGGTGCTAAATGTAATAAGGGTCCCAAATGTAATACGAAATTGGCGCCAACTGTAATAAGGATCCCAAGTGTGCCAATTGGTGCCAAATGTAATAAGGGCCCCAAGTGTAACAATTGGTGCCAAATGTAATAAGGTTGCCACTTTTAATAACGAATAGGTGCCAAATGTAATAATGGGGCACAAGTGTGGTAAGGGGAAGGTCACAAATGTATTAATGATTACTTTTCTATTAAGTCATTGGTCACAAATGAAGTCCACGCAGGTGGAGAGAATAGACGACGACCGGAAATAAATTTGCGTTCACAGGCTCACAAATGTAACAATGGCGGGCACCAATGTTAGAAGGGTGGGTCACAATAGTACTGCAATTTATTTAATTTACAATAGCAACAAGGGTCAGTCGGAAGATTGATGTCAAACTATACACAAGATGGCAGAACATATATTGTTTAGATCAGTAGACTTTCGCTAGGGTGCGAGCAAATACCCGTTAAGTACTAAGCATCCTTAAGAAAATTAGAAAAGTTACTGATTCAGTTCAACTCTTAATTAATACTGATAATCAAAAATGCAGTCGACCCGGCGTGAATGTGCCTCGATGATGTTCCGCCTTCAACTTCCACGAATAACATCCCCTAAAAACTGCATTCAGTAATTATTTATCAGGTGTTTTGGCAACCATGATGTCGATGGTTGTGAAAACATCATTGATGAAATGACTTATCCTTTTTTCAAACCTAATTTAACTCACGTGTAGTGAAGTTAAACTGTTGAGGAGAGCATTAAGTCGTGAGTTCTCAATGTGAAAAATTACTACAGAATTTCATTAGGACATTTCATGTTGATGAAAAGGAAAAGACTTTGCTCCCTCTCCCCCCCCCCCCTTTTTACAATTGACTGTTTCCTGCTTTTGCCTTATCTTTGAGATTGTTTGTTCAGTGTATAGCACATGATTTCTTTCTGAACACGATTTGTCTCGCTAGTGTATGCCAATGACTGTCTGCGGATGTGCACGCATAAGGAACGGTGCCTCCATTTTCGCGGGAGAAAGTGTTCAAAAATGATGCTAAAAATAATTGATGTGTGAAAACGCCGTTTTAGAGGCTAAGTATGGGAGTTGATGCTCCTCCCTTATGGTCTTCTGATAAGCGGTATTAACCTCAATAGCGTCATTGATAATTCTGGCCAAATAACCCGGGAGGTATTCTGAGGCGCTGTTCTTGGTGCCCGAGCACTAGTGCCTGTTCTTTGCAATAAAATTGAATTGTGTTCACACCCTTGGTACCCGATGCGTAACTGCTCCATTTCGCCGTGACAGAAGCCATTGAAACATGAGCGTAGCAGGAAGTGCAGAACAGTGGATTGTCTCGAAACTAACAGAAAACAACGTGTGCACACAGGGACCTGGTGCCTACTTTAGAGCTCTATAAAAATTCTTGACCTTGTACTTTAGTACTGGCATCATAACCGGGCTCTAGGTGTGAAGGCTGCCTAAACCTAAGGTCTCGACCTTGTACTCTTGACCCGGCATGGGTTGTTGAAAAAAAGGTGTGTTTACACCAGTGCCTAGCGAGACGGCACTCAGGCACCGTCTCCAAACAATAAGTGTGAACGTTGCCTAAGGTCTTGGCCATGTACTCTGGAACCGGACACGTGCCCGAATCTTGGCGTGTGAAAAAAGGTATGTTTACATCAGTGCCCAGCGAGTACCGTGCTCGGAAACCGTGGCCGAGCGCTAAAGTGATCACGGTCTTCCACTTCCTTACTAAGCGGGATATGATGCAAGCGATGATCGTACGTTTTGATTAGATTAGCCTTTTGTTGTGTTATTACGAGTTTGAGCTGATGTGCCAGTGCCTGTTTGCACATTAATCGGGTGAACTCGTGTCCTCCCACAGAAAAGCAGTTTCTTCATGGCTTTCCGAAGCTTCCTATACATAAAAACATAAATGAATGGATTGTAGCATGCCGATGATTTGGCGATGTACGCTGGAATGGCCGCGCCGATATCACTGATCAGATCTGGATTGTACATTGCTACAGTTGAGGTGACGGCGTACGGCGTCCAAGCGAATATAAAACCAGTTGTCATGACAACAGCTATACGGGCCATTTTGCTCTCGGCTGCGATTGTTTCTTGAGTTACAGTGGAGTTCTCTCCCCAGTGTCCCCTTGCTTGCTCGCTCAACTTTTGAACCGTTCTGTATGACTTGTAGAAACAGAAGACGATGACAGCAACTGGAAGCGCATAGCAAAAGAGAGTCAAGCATGCGGCGTAGGAAACATTTTCCACCCCTCCTGACTCCCAATCAATAGAGCAGCTGGTTCCAACTCCTTCCCGAACATAGCTCGACCATCCAAGGATGGGAAGAACGCTCCAGATGAACGAGTAGCACCAGAAAAACCCGGAAAGAAGCAAAGCCTTTTTTCGACTAAACTGAGCTTCGCCATCGTCGAAAAGCTTGCAAATTGTGGTGTAACGTTCGTATGCGGCTCCGACAAGGTGCATCATGGAACCAAGAGCGAAAAACGTGGTGATGAAACCATACGCGGTGCAACCTGCGTCTCCAAACAGCCACTCGCCTCTGGCGTTAGATGCCGCCAACATTGGAAGGGCGACCAATGAGTACAGTAGGTCGCCGAGGGTGATGTTTAGGATGAAGAGATTGGGAGCATCTAGGAGCTTGGTGTTTGTGAAGTAGACAAGGCAAACGAGAAAGTTGAGGAGAACCCCAGTGATTCCCAAAACACATGAAAAAAGTGTCAAAACTATAAAGACTGCTCTCATCTTCAGTAATCACCTAGAAAACAAAGGAAAGTAAAATAAAGTTAGGACAAATGCTATTTAGTAAAATCCAACTAGTGGTTTATTATCAATGCTGCGTTCTGATTGGTTGAGAAACTACTAGGCTAAATGTTATAGCTCACTAGTAGCGAGAGCACAGGCTGTGAAAACCAAAACAGTGGCAGCTAAATCGCGTTTTGCTAGCTAAAGTTGTTTGTCTCGATATTTTTTACCAACTAGTTGGATTTTACTAAAACAATTATTCATCTCGCCCTCATGGCCTCTGGCACAGAGCCCATTCGGGCTCGAGGAATAATTGTTAAGTATATACAATACCGGTATAGTATGAACAACAACGTCACAGAACTGGAACAAGTCGTTCACACACATCGACAACTTTGCGGGAGCGGTTGGCCGAGAGGGCTTGGTAAAATAAATGTCATTCCTCTCTCCTGAATATTTACATCCGTCTCTTGGATTCAAGTCCTCTTTCCTACTTATTCACTTCCGGTACCGTCTATATCACCTGTTTCAGTATTTTGCACTAAAGTATGGCACAGAATCCGATATGTGACGCTCCACTGCACTCTCGAGATCAGGGCGGATAAAGGTTGGGCGGTGAAACGAGCGCGTCCGAGCAAAAAGATGTGATGCAGTGGAATGGGATTCCCCTTAGAAATGTCGCCTGTTTTCGACTTCGGTCAGGGCTTGCGATGTGGTTTGTCCATTAGACATTGCCGCTGTGACTGAATCATGGCGGCTTGAGCTGTTTTCTTGCATTTCTTCCTCGTTCCTTTGAGCTGCTACGCTGTCTTCGAGAGGCAAATGTTGCTACTTTTTTTCGGTAGGTTTAGTTGGATCTACTGAATTATATTTTCGTTCTATAACCCTCCAATGTCGATGTTATTCTACAACAAAAACAACTAAAAGCTGTATAAAACACGAAGGAAAATCTCATCCAAGATACAGCAGATGGTGTTTCATGACTAGATGACGTGTATTTTATAAATGCGTGCAGCTCGTGCAAGGTGTAATTATGCTAATTTCAATTAATCACCATCATCCTTCTTTTTAATTTTGAAGAAAACATCTCATACGTCTTTCTGTTTTTCCGGAAACTTCAAAATTAGTTTTCCCTAAGTTTCTACTGTTTACTTCGTTTTGTTTTAAAGAGAAAAACGGAGAAAAAACCTTACAATAAATTTTATCTCAATACATTTTGTTTACATGCGGTTGCAGGATTTGCGACGCATTGCGCGACGCCATGGCGCGTTGCACCTACTCTTTCAAAATACATCAAGCTAATTTTGTGTAATGTTATGTAAAATTTATCCCCCTTTAACATATGTAAATATTAAGGTTAAGAGGTGTTAAATTTGCAAACGAAACGGCGAAAGACGATTAGGTCATATTTAGCGGAAGGAGGAGGCATTGAACACTTTTAAACAGAACTCAAATTTTGGCATTATGCGACCAACAAATTTGACTTTTAGGCATACAGACATAAACATATGAAACTGTTTATTAATATTGTTGTGAAAGGAATTTATCTATTTTACACTGTAGCCTGAAATTACAGAAAGAAAATAGGACTTCAGGTTTGCAAAAAGGAATTTTTCTTCGGCCTAGAAGCGCACCGGAAGCGTGGAAAGAGCGTTCGTGCCAGTCCTACTCCGCATCACACATTACATGAGAGCGGAGCGCTCGTTTCACCGCCCCAACCCTTAATCCGCCCTGCTCGAGATCGTTTCCCTCCGTTAAAACAAACGCACCGAAATCACTGTTCTCAGTGCGTGAATAGAAATAAACCCTATCCGGCATGGTTTTCGTGCCGGTGCTAGAGTAGCCTGCGTAGCAGGCGCTTGGAAGTAGTGGGCAAAAAAAAAAACGGGCGCGCGAGAAGGAGACACGCGAGGCTCCCTCACCCCTCGCGTGTCTCCCTCGCGCGTGCCCTTTCTCTCTTTCGCCTACTACTTCCAAGCGCCTGCTACGTAGGCTAGTGCTAGAGCAGTTTGGTATTAAGAATAATTTTAGTTCAATGAAGAGTGGAATACCCTTTTTTGTGTGTGTTCAACAGATAACTAAAACCGCAAGTTATCATTGTAAAAAGTACCACAGAATTTGCCATATTATGGTCCACTGAAAATCATTCTAAAAAGACAGTGATAACTGTCGATATTCCTGTAAATAAACAAACTTGGTGAATCGGTAAAATTAATATGGGCAATTTCACAATCGGTTTCAGCTTCAATAAATCCTACAAAACTTGCAGGACATTTGAGAACGAGCCGCCCAGAATGTGGGCACGTTTATTTACTGCTTAGTGACAAACTACCAACGAAAACAACACAGAATATATGTAATCCGTTTATAGTATCAACACTTCAGCCGCATAATGCAAGCGAAACATGCGCTTGACATAAACTTAAAAACACACCCTATCACTTCAGCAACCCATCAAAAATAAAACCAGTAAAACTAAGAAAAAAAACAGTTCATGAATTATACAAACCCGTTAGCACACTGCCCTTCCCTAGTTGCTCGGATCCTAAAATTGACCAGATTCGACACTTTTTACAAATCAAGAACGTATATTATATTAGGGGAGTAATAAAGTTGGCCTGAAGGCATTGTTTACATAGCCAATGTGGCATCCTAAATCAACTGAACACTTGTCAAATCTAATCATTCCTCAAAATGTGAAAGCATTGTTTTGCAGAAATTAGAGGATATCTCGGTAGAGATATTGTCAAATTTGTGAGACTTACTCGGGGACGTAGTTAAAAGAAATCAAGAGAGTTCATTCTGCTGGTGTTCTTATAAACCTTTGTTATAGCTACAAAAGAGAGTAAACAATTATTGGATTAGGTTTTTTTTTGTGATATCCGCAACAATCAAGGTCGCGGAAACTGTTATCAGCTGAGCCGAAACATGGCTGTTTTTCACATGAAAATTATCATGTTGACAGGCTTTTTGTCGCGTTTACGGAAAACGGCAGACGTAGTTATAAGATGCAAGTTTGGGAATGAACAGATAAAAATTGTCCAAAATAAATCTGATAGACGAACGTGACAAGAAACGACTTTGTCCCGTGTAGAAATAATAATCAGCAAACGACAAGTAAACAGAAAACTTGGTCACGTGGTACAATTTCAAGTTTGTTGATTGTTGTAAACGTGATGGTAAATTTCTCTGATACAATTAACTCCTGGTAACTCGAACCCTCGCTAACTCGAACTTCGCGCTAACGAGAACCAAAATCGATTTCCCTTAGATTTCCTTCATACGTTTACTGTAATTTTTCCCCGTGGTAACTCGAACCCTCGATAACTCGAACCTCCCGTTAACTCGAGGTAATTTTTGTTTCCCTTCAGATAATTTCTATAATATAATTTTATCCTCGATCACTCGACTGACTATGTTTTTTGAGCGCGTGAGAAGTCAGTTAAAAAACAGTGTACTGAAGCCCGGAACATAATTTTTATAAACAACACTGTCAATTCTTCGTCTTTACTTTTATGTCACTCCAGTTCAAATTCAGTGTCCATCCGTGTATGTTAATCAAGCTTTGTTGCTTCTTTTTTTCAAATATCAATCTATATCTCTTGCTGCCTTTTAAGTGAAGTGTACATGATACTTGCATGCCCTCCCCATCCATTTACTCATTTCCTTATTTCCAGTCATTTGCTTCGAACTCCCGATAACTCGCACTTTTTCCATTTCCCTAATAGGTTTGAATTATCTGGAGGCGTCTGTAACACGATTTGCAACTGAAAAGCAGGAAGGTTTGTAACAAAACAAGGTCACACCAGTCTCGCCACGCAGGTTAGTCTGCAAGCCACGCCCAAGCCCAAACAGCCGACTAAACGAAAACTTCGCACTCTAAAATCAACTCTGCTGGCCATTTTCTTAATTGATTATTCGCGATCCGAGGCAGCCAATCAAAATTCTTTCCGTTGTTTGCTTATTGCTCGGTATGCAAATTTCTATAACCGCATAAGTAAAAAAAAAAGAAATGAAATAAAATGTATTCGCTGTCTTTTATTTTTCTTCAAAGCGATATGAAACAGTTATGATCAGTTATACTGAAACGTTTATGGTTCGATGCGTCTTCCCCTTCTTGTTTGCTAATAAACGAGCTCAATATTTTAGCAAAATACCATTTATTTTTGAGGCCTTGGGAAATATTTTTCAGCACTTTCGTAAATAATGACATTTGCAATTTTACAACTTGTCAGTCAGTTAGCTTAAATTCACCTAATAAGTTGACAAAATGTATTAAAGCAATAACACACAAGCCTTGATAAATCTAATAAGCGCTGTCAATGTTTTGTAAATTAAATAAAAAATATTCTATCTTCAAGGTGCTCTTTCGAAATATCCTCTTCCGCAGTTTCTTTAAGACAAGACCCTCAGTCTTGGCAGAAAATCAAATTTACTGAAGCAACGGCACGAGTTCATCAAGCGTCTTTATTGCATGTTTTTTATGCGAGTAAAACCCGTCCGGCAATCCAAAGCTAGGCTGCCTTCCATAACGCTGAAATTCCCCAACTCCCACGTCAAAACATAGATAAACCCGGTTCTGTCCAGATGGATATTTTCACCTCTGAATGAAATCATCTTCCTTGACCAGTCAGTCTAATTGGTTTAGGAAACAGTGTGAGCGAGCACCACCAAAAATTTCCGCTTAAACAAAACTAGAAACACATACATTCAAGACCTTTTTTAAATAAGTACGTCGTTCCTTTAGAGGGCATAATATCGTTCAATTTTCTCTAAGCGAGTCTGACTGGTCTTTGTGGCATATTTTAAAAGAATATATACTTGGGATGTCAAGAGGCAAAACTGCTAACTTACATACCTTTCTGCTGTGAAAGTTTTTTTTCCTCAAAGTTCAGTTTGCAAGAAGCGATTTAGCAAAACGCCAATCACAGCACCCAATCTCCTAAAATGGTTCCAAAGAGTACGCAAAATTGTTTAACTTCGCCTTGATGGTGACTGCA